CCTTAAATGCCATCTGCTCCATTCTGAGTTCACCTACTTCCTGGACAGGGCTAAAATATACCACTGTCCCCTCTCTTTGATGTTTTATTTTTTGGGGGTGTCTCAATTTGTTTGTTTTACCACTGCTAGTGAGCCTTTGGTTCTTAGTAGTAAGGTATTTTCTAAAGAAGTGCAGGGGTTTTGCACATGTGACACTTTCACGTGTCAGTTCTCACAGCAATGTCAGAGAATGTAGACATTTTTTCAATAATAGCCTGCCTTGTCACAATATGCAGGTAATTCTATTTTCTGAATAATCCTCATAAAAACATTACAAAAATATCAGTTGAAAAAACATTTTACTACCGCAGAGGAACACAATCTTATTTTATTTTCTAATATTCATCTAATGTCTTCTACATGCCAGGTACTGAATTAGGCACTTTACAGCCCTCATCTAATTTTCACAATACACGAAGAAATAGGCATTTTCCCATTCTACTGATAAGGAAAATGAGACTCAAGAGTAACTTGCTAAAGATCACTTTGGTTGCATTAACATATATGCTCTTTAAAATTTTACAGAGTTTTTTGGAAAACTGAGAAAAGCAGGGAAAAACTATCTGCCATCTGAGCATTATGACCATTTTTATTATGCTTCAGTATGCTTTGTGCATTCACTCTTTTCCATATTTCATATTATTTGTCTATTACAGATTCCCAGAAGTAGATCATGAAATATGGATAATTTTATCAAAGACCATGCTTTTTTATTTTTATCATGCTGCCTCCCTAAAACACAACCAGATGCAAGGACAAGTAACTTCCCTTCTACCACAGGGGGAAATAATTCACAATAAAAATAAAACAAGTCACTGAAAAACAAGCCTTTGAAACCCAGCAGAGAGCATAGACTTTGGAGTTCAGACCAGGGGAGGAATCCCAGCTCAGCCTCTAGACCTGTGCTTCTTTGGGCAAGCCCCTAACCTCTCTCCTCCTCAACGTCAGTTCCTTCATCTTTCAAAAGGGGTTAATACTTAGTCCGCAGGGTTATTGTGAGGATTATAGATAACACACGCAAACCATAGTGCCTGGCATGTAGAAAGTATTGAATAAATATTAGTGAATAAGTCAACGTTCCAGTGAAAACAGTGTTACAGGTGCAAATAATCAGATAAGTAGGGTAGCATTCTATTCAACCACAGAGAACTATGAGAAACTTGAGTGATTTTTAGTTATATTCATTTAGGAGAGGTGTCTTTTTAAAAAGAGTACTTAGATTATAAGATCAGACACTACCCTACTATTTAAAGCTGAATCTACTATGTTAGACAGACCTGGGATTTTTAAAAATAATGTTTTCAAAAACTGACCAAAAAAGTAATTGTTCCGCCTATATTTTTAAACTGTCTCTAAGCAGTATCACAGTAATCTTTTTTGAAATAACCTGAAACCTCCTCAGTTAGAGAGGAAAGGGGTAAAAACTAAAACATCTTTACCAGTGTATATTAATTCCTTGTTTACTGATGAGAAATCCAATTTTAGGTTGTGAAACCTAAACAAACCTGCAAGTGAAAGAACAGATTCCTGACTCTATATACACACAATTAATTAATTAATTTGATGTTCATTGAGGACCTTTCTGACAGACACTGCTGGGTGCAAGGGAAAGAAAAATTAATTTAAAACTGTCTGTATTTAAGATGCTCACAGTCTAATGGGAAAGACTGGTATATAAATAATGACAATACGATGTGCTGACTTCATCTCAAATCACCTGGGGGAACCAGGAAAAGCTCAGTTGAGGAAGCAAGTAATGTTTGAGCTAAGATTTGAGTAGGAACCCTCAGGTGAATGAGGGGGTGGGGTGAGAGAAGGGAGATAACACCAGCAGAAGTCCAGCAAGTACTACAGACACAAGAGAGTACAGAACAATCAAGGAAGGCAGGTAATTCACTATGACTAGTAGAGGGATGAGCTTGGACTGAGATGAGCCTGGAAGCAGACTAGGGACAGGCTATAGAAGCCCTTTTATACTTTGCAAAATAGGTTAAAAGGTTTTCAGATTTTCATGTTAGTATCTCTGGAAACACTGTAAACAATGAGTTCAAGGATGACCAGTTAAGCAGTTATTGCAATAGATTTGCAAGAGCGATAAGGGTCTGAACAGTGGGCATGATGAGAAGGGGGTTAAAATCTGATTCTTTTTTAAAAAATTTTTTGAGGGCTGGCCCAGTGGCGTAGTGGTTAAGTTTGGTGTGCTCCACTTCGGCAGCTCGGGTTCACAGGTTCAGACCCGGGGTGCAGACCTACACCACTCATCAAGCCATGCTGTGGCAGCAACCCACATACAAAATAGAGGAAAGACTGGCACAGACGTTAGCTCAGGGCCAATCTTCCTCAAGCAAAAAGAGGAAGATTGGCAACAGTTGTTAGCTCACAGCCAATCTTCACCAAAAAAAAATTTTTTTTTTGAGATAAAATTCACATAACGTAAAATCCACCACGTTAACCATTTTAAAATATATAATTCATTGCTGATTCCTTTTTAAAATAATCTATCTCCAGCTAGACCCTTCTGCTTCTAAGAGACATGAAATGAATAAATATAGTTTAACTGGTAGAAATACTAGTTTTAAAAAAATCTTCATGGGGCCGGCCCCGTGGTGTAGCAGTTAAGTGCATGCTCTCCGCTGCTGGCGGCCCGGGTTCGGATCCTAGGCACGCACCAACGCACCACTTGTCAGGCCATGCTGTGGCGGCGTCCCACATAAATTGGAGGAAGATGGGCACAGATGTTAGCTCAGGGCCAGTCTTCCTTGGTAAAAAGAGGAGGATTGGCATGGATGTTAGCTCAGGGCTGATCTCCCTCACAAAAAAATTTAAAAATCTTCACTTTTTTATTAAAAAGAGTAAGTGGTCATCACAGAAATGCAGAAAATACCAGTACATAAGATAAAAAGTGAGTGTTCCTCTAATGAACAACTCCAACTACCCAGAGATAGCCACTATTAATGGACTGTTGTGTATCCTTACAAAGGTTTCTCTATACATACACTTAGACTTATATATAGGGTTTTTTTTTAACATAAATGGCATCTAGAATATAAAACATGTTGCTCTGCATCGTTTTCCACGTAAAAGGCTTGAAACCCTCCCTAACAAGTACATCAATTTCTAGTTGCAGTGTATGAGCCTGCTCACTTCACTATACCTTTGAAAATCGTGTATTTTTTATTTTACTTTTTGCCAATATAAGAAGTCACTTATTTTAATTTGCTAGCTTATTTTTTATTATGAAATAGTTCGAATATACAGAAACACAGAAGATAGGTTCTTTTTAAATTCAGCTAAAGTTGACATCTAAGATGTTTAAATTGTATTTTAAAACTGCATGTACAGGTATTGTGTACTACAGGAAGCACAGAATGTACAGGAAATAGCATAAGACTGACTGATCTAGGGTTTCAGTCTTCGTTCTGTAACAGTTAACTGTGTAAGCCTAGGACTAGGTTTTCCTCATCTATAAAATTAGAGAGCATAAATAATTATTAGTTATCTTTAAAGCTCTAAGAGCATATGGATCTAAATCACAAATGTTTCAAAGCACAATGTTAGGGGCAGGCCCGGGGGTGTAGTGGTTAAGTTCTCGTGCTCTGCTCCGGTGGCCCAGGTTCACAGGTTCGGATCCCAGCGCGGACCGAGGTACCGCTTGTCCAGCCATGCTGTGGCGGTGTTCCATATAAGGCAAAGGAAGATGGGCACGGATGTTAGCCCAGGGCCAATCTTCCTCAGCAAAAAGAGGAGGATTGGAAACAGATGTTAGCTCAGGGCTAATCTTCCTCACACACACACAAAAAACCCCCAAAAAACACAATGTTAAAATTTCTCTGCTTGGGAGATTAGATTGGTGGCTACCAGAGGAGAAGCGGGGAGGGAGGCGAGGGAAAGAGGTGACTGGGCACATGTGCATGGTGATGGATGGTAGTCTTTAGGTGGTGAACATGATGCCGTCTAGTCGAAATATAATGATGTACACTTGAAATTTACATAATGTAACATAAACCAATGTTATCTCAATAAAAAAAAAAATTTCTCTGCTTGGGTTGCTTAATGGTGAGTAAAGAATATTGTATCTCTCGGCCGGCCCCGTGGCTTAGCGGTTGAGTGCTCGCGCTTCGCTACTGGCGGCCCCGGTTCGGATCCTGGGCGCGCACCGACGCCCCGCTTCTCCGGCCATGCTGAGGCCGCGTCCCACATACAGCAACTAGAAGAATGTGCAACTATGACACACAACTATCTACTGGGGCTTTGGCGGAAAAATAAGTAAATAAAAAATTAAAAAAAAAAAAGAATATTGTATCTCCTCCACTTGCCAAAGCCAGTAAATTCAACGAGGAGGGATACTACTTTTGTTCCCTTACGTATACCAAGCTCCTAGAACAGTGCCTGGCACACTCGATATTTGGTAAATGATTGAAAATGATTTAAGAACTTCCACTCCAGGGAATTGCTTTGAATTAATTATTTGGACAATGTAATAAATCTGGCATGGTTTCTGTCCAGTTTAGTTCTCACATTCCTGAAGTGAAAATGCTACAAAATATATAGCTCTCTACATAATTATATAAGTGAGTGAATTATTATATAATATACAATCCTATAAGTGAGTTACATCTACTGACAGCAGAAAGACTCAGTTCTTCTACTCCCTGGACCTAAAGTCTTCCCCCCACCACCTGATGGGGCCCATACTCAAAGAAGTGTCAAAACTCATAGCTATGCACAGGCCTATAGGAGAGAAGTTATCACCTAACCTACCTCAATCTCAGACTCTACATCCCCAGAAGACAAGGAGTTACAGTTTCTTCTCTAGTGAACCCCACGACTCCGAAAACGGCGGAATTGGAGCCGCTAAAGACACAGAACCGGCGGGAAAAGGGGGTCGGGAAGAGGAGAACAGACCCTCTCAAGCCCCACTCATTGGAAAAAGCCCGTGTTGCCGGAAACACCGTCCTCACCTCCTTCTTTCTTTGGGCAGATGCTGAGGGAACCCCGTAAATGAGCAGCAGCGCCACCGCCACGGTCGCAGAAACACACCAAAGCCACCGACGCGCTGCCATGTTCGCTCCTCTCCCTCCCAGAAGCGAAACTTTCCCCGGGCTGGGTCTGAGGGTTGGGCGTGAGAACACACAAACCAGTCCCTTGCCCCTCCTCATTGGTCCAGCTCAGCCCTGCCGGGCCATCCCTCACATTACGTCACCGCGCTCTACTGCTAGACGCCCGCTAAAAGACAGTTCACTTCTAATTGGTCTCCGTTAGCCAATAGAAAAAGGATAATCTGGATATTTTTCATTGGTCCGCTAAGGATGATGGGCCGCCCCTTTCATTTGCGTAAAGATGACGCGCTCAGTGGCTCTTCAAACGCGCTTGCGCAGTTGTGAAGCGTTGCGGCTTTTCGGAGTCCCAGGTGGACTAAGGTTGCTGAAACCGAATTTTTTTCGCCGAGGCTCATTTAGATGTCTTTGAAATCCACCTCTTTCGTGTAATATTCTAGAAAAATTGGACGTAACCGCGTGATTGATAGGAGCTGTCTTAGTCCCTCATTCTGCCTCCAAAGTATCAAATGAAAATTTTAAAAAAAGCAAAAATATACTTAATATCACTGAGGGAGGTTTTAAAAAGTAAATGAACAAGAGCTTGTTGAATACCTTCTGTGTCCCAGGAACTGTGCTGTGTGCGCTAAACAAAGTTTTAAAGTTGTGTTTATTCGTGACCTTTTTAAAGTTAAACTTCTTAATTTATTACTTAAGGCACCAAAACAGTCTTAAATTTCAGGTTATAGACAGCAAATGCCTTCTTTTTTATTCATTATTGTTTGGGGGATGGGCGCAAAACTTAGATTGTAGGGAAGCACTTCTGTCTTTTTAAAGGTTTTTGTGTCATAGTCAGTTTTCATTAAACATCCATTTCCCCATGTGAAAAATAATAAAAATCCTACATAGCTGAAGAATTTTCCATTTATTTGACCCAGTTCTGTTGATCATAGTGGGTTGTAAAACTGGGATGATTTTACTAAAAAAGAATAATATACTCAAAGGAAAAATACCAATAAAATAAAATCAATTGCCTATAATTTGGATTTATTTTAATGATGTGGAACATCATGACTACTCTTAGGCCCTGCTGGGACACACACACACACACACACACACACACACACACACACACACAGGGGAAAATAATTTCATTATGTTAGAGAGACAAGGAGATGGCTATGGATGGTAAAATAGCTGGTTCTGAATTGAAGAGATGTGATCTACAGATATGAAAAAAAAATACATTAACAGACACTCAATAAAAACACAAAATAAAAGTACACTGAGACACGCTATATGATTCTATTTATATGACATTCTGGAAAATGCAAACTCATAGAGACAGAGGACAGATCAGTGGCTATAAGGGGCTGGAGGGAGAGGGGTAGACCACAAAGGGGCCACACAAGAAGATTTTTGTGGTGATGGAATTGTTCTGTCCTTAATTGTTGGGGTGGTTACACACTCTATGCATTTGTCAAAATTTACAGAACTGTACACTAAAAAAGATTGAATTTTACTGCGTGTAAATTTAATACATAAAAATTAAGTAAAAAATTTAAAGTACACAGAGAAATCTCACCTGTCATGTTGGCAAAAATTCAGTACATGCTGTCACCGAAAGCATGGGGAAACAGTCACTCTCATATGTTGCTGGTGGGAATACAAAATGGTACAACATCTATGGAGGGTGATTTGACAATATCTAACAAAATCACATGAGCATTTATTCTTTGATCCAGAAATCTCACTTCTAGGAATCTACTCCAATAATAAGAAAATATATGTACACAAAGTTATTCATTTCAGCACTATTTGTTATTGAAATAGTCTCAAAACTACCTAAATGTTCAAATATAGGAGACTGATTGAATGTACTATGGTACGTAAACACTATGGAATATTTCACAGCTGTAAAAAAAGGAATAAAGAAGAGTGTGTTGAGGCCATCCTGATGGCATAGTGGTTAAATTCCGGCGCTCTGCTTCTGTGGTCTGGGTTTCACAGGTTCAGATCCCGGATGCAGACTGACGCACCGCTCATCAAGCCATGCTGTAGCGGCATCCCACGTACAAAATAGAGGAAGATTGGCACAGATGTTAGCTTAGGGACAATCTTCCTCAAGCAAAAAGAGGAATATTGGCAACAAGAGTTGTGTAAATGATATGAATTTTCAACATCTATTGTTAAGTGGAGAAAAAAAAAAACAAAGCGCAAAAGAATATACATGTTATGCTACATTTGTGTAGAATAGAAGGGGAAATACAGAAAGGTTAAATTAGAAACAAATGGAATTGGTTACCTACAGGAGGTGGAGGAAATGGAGTGGAACAGTTATGGGAGGGAATGACACTTCTCTAAGTACACCAGCTTATATAGTTTTGACTTTTGGAATAATGTTAATACTTGTTAAATAATCTAAATATAAAACCAAATTATTTTGTTTTGCAAGATGAAAAAAGTTCTGGAGACAGATCGGGATGATGGTTGCACAACAATGTGGATGTACTTAATTGCCACTGAACTGTACACTTAAAAATGGTTAAAATTGGGCCGGCCCCGTGGCTTAGTGGTTAAGTGCGCGTGCTCTGCTGCTGGCGGCCCGGGTTTGGATCCCGGGCACGCACCGACACACCGCTTCTCCGGCCAT